TGCACCGATTGTTTATGTGTCCATATTACATGAAATCATGATCTGAGAAGCTTTTACCAAAAATGCAGTCAAAAAACTTCACAAAAAGTAAATTCCGCTTGCCTAAAACGCAATTATCTTAGATGACCTAGGTTGACCTTGACCTTGACCTTGACATCTGTACATCGTCGAACAACATGTTCCATGATGGGTGGGAGGTAAGACTGGTAAAAAAGGCCGAAATCAAGGTGTCAAAAGCTCACAAGGCCCATAGCCAACACAAGATGTCGAGAACTGGCCATTTGGGTCATGACATGACCTGAAAAACAAGGTCATATCTCCGAAACCAAAGGTCACAGAAACTTGAAATTTTCAGTGGACATCAAGCAGACTTGTGACAGCTCAAGAAAAAAGTGAGCTCGCTCAGCTCAACTCCGTTTTATCCGCTCCCGCTCAGCTCCCGCTCAGTTTAACACGGCTCAGCTCAGCTCACGCTCCGCTCAAACCGGCTGTGCTCCGCTCACGCTCAGCTCAGCTCAGCTCAGTTTCCGCTCAGCTCAGCTCAGCTCAGTTTCCGCTCAGCTCAGCTCAGCTCAGCTTCCGCTCAGCTCAGCTCAGCTCAGTTTCCGCTCAGCTCAGCTCAGCTCAGTTTCCGCTCAGCTCAGCTCAGTTTCCGCTCAGCTCAGCTCAGCTCAGTTCCCGTTCAGCTCAGCTCAGTTTCCGCTCAATTCAGCTTAGCTCAGTTTCCGCTCAGTTAAATTCACGCTTAGATCGCTCAGTCGTTCTTTTTAAATCGGACATGCAGACCAACTCTTGGCGCATAAGTAAGTCTCCTCTAACAAGGAGCGAGGCAACTTACACAATGGGCAAAAGAGATAAGCTCATTAAGACCTTGAGACTTTGCGAGTCGTGCGTCTACTTGGACTCAGACTATAGTTACATGAAATGGACTGTTCTTGGCAGTGTTATCACATGTTATCAGAGTGTGCACCCGCGATGTTAACATAACATATAAGTTCAAAATATACGAACGAAAAAAGTCTGGACGAAAAAGTTTACAGACGAAAAAAATGTACAGACAAAAAAATGCCAGACGAAGAAAAGTCGGACGAAAATCTGCTAGACGAAAAAAACGCCATGGAATCATCTCAACTAGGCGGTGTTTCACGGCCGAGAGCAGCACGCCCACGCCGCCATCCGCTCTTGGCACCCTGCCAGGAGCTGACGTTACATTTTGGGGTAGTGTTGGAACTTGGAGATAAGAGTTTGTTTATATCTCCATGGAAACCCCATTTGACACGTGTGATAGCAGCGTGCTGTTATCAGTGAAACCTTGAGTGAAACCAAACACCACCCTGATCTCAACCAAGGCAATGTCAACACAATTAGAATTCATAGTCGGCGTGTGAATAAGGGAGCTTTTCCCATATTATGGACATCAGAAGGTGAGAGTTCCAGTTAGCGCCTCTGCCCCACCCCACTTTGTATGTATGTATGTATGTATGTATTGACGATCAAGAGCAATCCACAATCGGCGTGGCGATTACACCTTTCAATAGGATATGGTTGCTTAGCCCACATTCAACCAACGAAGAGGAACATTTGCTATTTTCCTAATTGTAAATATTTTATGCAGAGGTAAGAACCCTTATCGATAAAATTAATTTAAATAACTGCTTAAATAACAAAGTGAAGAATGCTGAATTGTACATTGCGGAGCAGAGTGTCAAGGCGAAGCATCAAAGCCTGACAGTAGGTATTCATCTTGCAGTCAGACTTGAAACTTGAGACTGGCTGTATTAGCCTGTAAATTGGCCAAGACCCTGGTCTTCCAATTTCCATGCAACATGGATGAAATAAATTAAGCTTGATTAGCAGGGGCGCGGGAACTACTTTCCGACTGGGGGGGCACACCATAATAGAGATCAACCTAGGGTACCCCCAAATCTAGTTTTCTCACCGGTTTTAGGCCACTTATTTTTCACCCCTCGGCTTTTTCAACAGAAAAAGAAAACATTTGCAAAAAAAGTGTGGTAATCCGTCTCAAAGCTGTGGGGGCACCGCCCCCACGGCCCCAGAGTTGGGGGGGCAAGCTGCCCCCACTGCCCCCCCGGCTCCCGCGCCTATGTTGATTAGTGATTAATATTGATTTCTTTAGAGTTTTGATATTTTTAAGTGCGATCACGAAGGCAGTGTAATTGCTCACTCCATAGCTAGCTCATAGCTGAAGCATCAAATCCTGAGTTAATTTCCAAGCATGAACTGAAAAGAATTAGAACTGGATCAGCTCAGCTCAGCTAAATCAGCTCAGCTCAATCAGCTCAGCTCAGCTCAGCTCAGCTCAGCTCAGCTCAATCAGCTCAGCTCAGCTCAGCTCAATCAGCTCAGCTCAGCTCAATCAGCTCAGCTCAGCTCAATCAGCTCAGCTCAGCTCAGCTCAGCTCAGCTCAGCTCGCTCAGCTCAATCAGCTCAGCTCGCTCAGCTCAGCTCAGCTCAGCTCAGCTCAAGCTCATTCAGCTCAGCTCAGCTCAAGCTCATTCAGCTCAGCTCAGACAGCAGCTCAGCTCAATGCATTACTGAGCCGGCTCAGCTCACAGCTCAACAATTTGGCAAAATGTTGAGCCGGCTCATGAGCTGAGCTGATTTTTGAGCCGGCTCAACTGAGCTGATCACAAGTCTGACATCAAGAAAGGATAGAGGAGCAGCTATACGAAAAATCAGCCTTCTAGCTCTAAAAATGTTGAGTGCAGAGCAGAAAGACTACCTGGGGGGGGGGGGGTGGCAACCACCCCCCCCCCCATGTGCGGGCGAGGGCTAGACAGCGCCTGGATACATGCTGTGCCGCATGGCACGATGACAAACTTCGCAGCCAACTCAATGGAATGGAATGGGGCCGAGCTCCACTGTTGTCTGTTAGCGGTGGAGAGACTTGCCAACACATGCTCATAGCTCACGATAGAATTCAGCGGTTCAAGAACAACCAGTTACTGGATGTTGCACGATACCATGAATGAGATAATACGACACCTACTGAGTGATTAGAACCATGGTGCCGTATCCTGTGCTGTTTTAATTGTTCTCTTCCTTAAGCAGTGGTGGAGAAGCAAGCAGCATCGACTTAAAGTCAGTCAAGAAATCAGCGACGATGACACTATGCAGAAATTCATTGAGGACAATTGTAACTAACAAACAATTAATTTGTGTCACGGTAAAAAAACCTACTTCGGCAAAACTCCTAGCACCATAAGAGCACACATTCGAAACAAACCATAGATCACCACACCTTAAACATAATATGGACTGAAGCGCTGGAGGCACTGGCATTTAGCTTTCCAAACACTCATCATTATTCACCTGTCACACCACTTTACCCCTGCAGCGACATTGACTGATGTCGAACGGCGCTGGTCAATCACCGTCAGTGCCTGTAACCAGTTCGACTCTCGCCAAAACCACCCGAGTCCGGCGCCACTGCGGCCCGCCACGGCTCAGGGTCAGCCGGGCGCCGCTCGTGGCGGGCCCATATCCGCCGCCGCCGCCACCGCGGCGTCAATTGATGACACCCGCTCTGACGCGGCGTCATCCATCTGGGCGGCGGCGTCATCGCCGGCGGCCGCCGGGCTGTCCAGCCGTCTGTTTGTTTATTATCTGACCAGGCTCACCGATCAGCGGCTCGGCTGACGGACGGGGCGGGCGCTGCGGCGCCAGGTGCGGCCGCCGACACGCGGCGTCGCGCTCACCGCCGGACATGATGGCCAGCCGTCAGCGGCGCCGCCGGCCGAGCCACCGCCGGCGACAAGTCGCGCCGCCGCGGCTGGCATCGGCCGACCGCGCTGCTGCCAACTCAAATGCCGCCGGAATCCGCGCGGCGGCGACGGCACCGTATCCAGCGGCCGTTCCGCGCAAACACCAGCTCGGTCCGCTGACCTGAGCGGGCGCGGTGGCACGCCGGCGCCGCCCGATCGTCCGCGCCACCCTCCCTCCTTCACGGAGACTGACTGACACGAAATCGGCACCCAGTGGTGACTGAACTCCGGTCTCCCAGACCCCCGGTCGGTCCCCGGAGTACCGCCGCCGTCCGGCAGTGGCCGGGTCGTCCCTCCCTCAGGGCCGGAGCGGTCTCGGCTCGGTCGCCGCGGGGACGGTCGGAGCGCTCGGCCGGCCAATGTGGGGCACTGGGCCACCGGCGCGGCCCGGCCGACGGCGCTCCTGACCCAGATCGGGCGGAGCAGCGCCGGCCGCGCCAGCTCCCCTCCGCCGGACATGCCGCACAAAAGACGGCCCACCGCCCGCGAAGGCCAGTGCAGCGGTGACTGAGAGCGGACATCGCGCCGTCGGGGCCGCAGCCAGCGCGGCGGGAACAGAAGGGGTAACGACGCAGAGCAGCAACGCCATTCCAGCATCCTGCGTCATCACTTGTGGATAAAAAGGCCAGACTACTGAATGACCCAGCAATTAGAAGCGACGTTGACGATAGAATCACGCTGTGGACACACAATACTCGCATATCCGTGATTACCTCACGCAGGAGGCGAACTCCTGGAGACCTACCGCGGCCGGCAAACACCGTACGTCCATGAAGCTAATGATCCGCACAAACGCAGCGTGTCCGTGTCCCCGGCAACGGCTAACGAGCGGCCGTGAGCGGCGCGCCCGGAGCCAGCCCGTATCCGCGTCTCACACGGATCCCGATCAATAAGGTAAACAGCCGTGTCGCCGTCAGCCGGCGGATGGCGGTAACGGCACGCCAGCGACCGACCGCCTGTCCGTCAGCCGGGCCGCCGACCAGCCAATGACGAGCAAACAACGGCCAACTTTTGGATAGCTTAAATGGATGGCCTGCATCGGAATCGCCATTCGATGGAAATACACATGAATCGCAGCACGCCCACACATTTTCGGTTCGGCACGAGACTTTAGAGTTCGACTCGAGGCCAACCAATCTGGGGCGGGTCGGGCAAATACTGAAAACACAAACCAGTAAGTTGTCACTCAAGTGATATGCTAACTGGGAACTCACCTGAAATTCGACTTTGAACAGGATGGGATATTTCCTGTGCTGCTCGCAATATTTGATGAAGTTGGCCTTCTCCACCGGCTTTTTGGGAATGGCTCGGATCGCTTTGTCTTCTTCGGCTGTCCGGGAGAACGAAAAACGTCAGTGACTGTTACATGTTACAAGGCTCTGAGTCACATCCTTGAGACAACCACGTCAGGCTAGTATTGGCTTTACGTTACTCCACGCGATAATCGAAGAGCGATACCATGATTTTCTGACAGATAAACCTAGCACTAGGAAAGAAAACACTACAAACCTGGTGCATTACAAGCGGTAAAACCCTTCGGGATGCGAGGATGAGCGATATGCTTACAGCTTCTGATTAAGGTTTAACATGATATACGTTACATCGATGAGCTACCCGATGTTATGCATTTCATTGGATTATGCAATCGGCGCATCACATAAAAAGTAGGCATTTACGTCACGCCAGCGTGGTCATGGTGGTTTTGCTTCAGCAAATCATTAGCCAGATTATGCCTAACAATTAGGTAGTTCAACATGCTAGGTAGCCCACTTTTGAATACAAAAGAAAATCGTTTAACGCGGAAATACGATGAGACACAGAGGACCGTAAAGATGAATCAATAGGCAGTTATTCAATATTCAGCACAACCACAAAGATCGGGTTTCGTAGCAGTCATAGAAATGTCAATATAACATGTTTGTATCATGCAAAAAAAAAAAAACAACAGCAACATCAACCTTGACTCCAGAATCCTCGGTGATAATTGGGGGAGCTTGTGGAAAGCAATCAAAGAAGGTATGTGTGTTTCATTTCTCGGTTACATTATTTCCGAAAGGCTCCGTGATGTAATAGCGCGAAATACACGCTCGCTATATTCCAGTGCATAGTCAAAGCATTCACCGTTTTCCTCACCACCATTTTCCACAACTGTTGCATCACATTTGCGCAGTGGACCATTACATAGATCATCCATCAATTCTTGGCGCTAAACAATGCTGTATTATTAGTGCATTTCACCAACACAACGATTTTATGCGGGTAGAACATATGGAAGGTTGTAAACGCGAGCGCACATCACAATTCTGATCTTCACTGCAATTTTGCCATCACTGAGTGGTGGCATTTTCCATAGAACCCTGCGTTCGGTTTCAAACGATGGGTCGGAAGGCGTATCAATCCACCGAAATGATTAACTAGTCTTCTGGAAATCTGAAAGGACCCGCAGAATTTATATGGGAGTAACTCATGCTTTGACAATCCCAAATATCACAGGGAGTAGCCAGCCCTGGATCGCTTCGGTGCCACAAACGATCTTTTTTCTTTGTTGTTGCATACCATTAATGCAGCATACAGCACTTTAAATGTAACTTTACCAGCACCGCTGTGCGCCATTCTGTGGCCATTTCACACAGCCACGTCATGGCACAGGCACTTAGGAAGAACGGCACCAGCCTTTCTGTTTTGGGATGACGCCAAAGCGGCTCTACCCGGAACCCGGCACCTCTAACAGCAGCTGACTACTAACTACAGAGCCCGGACATACGAGTGGGTAGGTGTGTGCCGGTGTGTGATGCTGCGGTCCATCATACGCCCTGCAGACGTAACATTGGGTCGCGTTTCGCGACAAACGACGAGCCCAGGGCTCAGGGTACAGTGGGCGCCGCGTGTCATCGCACGGCCTCGTAGGCCGACCCCGGATATTTACCGCCTGTCAGCGTGGCTAGGTTCAGCCAAGGCTATAGAACTGGTTCAGCCATTATCGTTCAGAAACATGACTGAGCCTTGCAGCGTCTGTGTCCATGGAGTCTAGCTAAGTCAACAGCATTCACACTTCACAAATAGGGCTCGGCACACAGCCGGTATACGTCCATTCACGGGCACTACACCAGTCGTCATCAATAGCATTAGCCGACGACGAATTACGCCGTTTCAATGGTCCTAAGTCATTGGGAACGCTGTAAGACACTTGGGAATGCCACACCGTTAGGAAATTGCTGACTGGAGGCCTGGAGGGGGCGGGTGTTCTTTATTTCATTGCCTTGCACACTTCGCCAAGCAGTCAGGATTGAACTCCAGACATTTCTTACGTTTGAAGAATTAAAAAGTAGCTTCTGAAGATAAGCAGTGAGTAAATTGAACCTTAACACTCGTGTGATCGTTTGCACGGTTTTTAGCAGTCAGCTGGCGTCACCTCACTGTCGACACCGACCCGCACGACCCCTGCCGACTGCCGGGGACGGCCACTCGTCTGACGGCTCACCTATGGGGATCAGGCCGCTGTTGAGCATGCTCAGCTGGATTTTGCCCGGTATCGAGGTGAGCGAACTGCCCGCAGAGCCGAAGTAGCGGTGCCGCCGCTTGGGTTTGGTCTCCCCATAGCGTTGGGCCGAGCGGGCGCGTCGGCCGCGCTGTCTCTGGCCGTCACTGCCGGACGCGTCCGAGGCGGAGCTGCGCGCGTCCAGACGGTCCACACTGTGACCGCGCACCTCGACCATGGCTGGCTACACTCGATCCGCACCGCACCGCGCCACACTGCCGAGCCGAGCGCGGCCACCGACTGACCCGCCGTCGACCGACGGCTCGGAGTCGGCGGCGACCGACGGCGACGGCGCGGGCGCGTGCCGACGCACCGCCCTCGTCATCAGAGGTCGGGGACGACTGGCACGCAGACCACCGGCTCATCATCGGGCGGTAATGGACGCTCGGCACGCCGCCGCGGTGCCAGGTCACATCGCCCCTGGAGCCGGGGATCAGAAGTCAGCCGCCCGTACAGAGCTGGGACTGACTAGCCTGCAGACGGAGCTTCGCTGATCAACTCAGCACAAGTGGCACAGATAGGACATCCCCAGGTGTCGGCGAGCCGGACAGCTGCCTCAGCCACCACTGGAAATGCGGAAGGGGCGTGCCAGTTCCCACAAATGTCCGTGCAGTCTCCACACTGGCCTCGGGAAAGTGAGAGACTGCACGGGACATTGGGAATAGTGATGTCAATTTCAGAAATTTTGGAAACCAATACCAAACCGATACCGACCAAACCCACTGAGAGTATACCAAAACCGAACCGATTTTCAGAAATAGGGGGGAAATACCGACTAGATACCGAAATCAGGGAATTATCAGACATGTGCTTCAAACTTTCTCAAGACATATGATTAGCCTTGAAAGGTATCTAATACTTTAAAATAAGGGAACAAAAACAAATCAGGCAACCTCTTAACTATTTGCACTGCAAAAAAACATTCATAACTGTATTTTGTAACTATTAATATTCAGGTCAGTTATTTAACTGGAATGTGGATTCAAGTCATCTGCATAAGGTGTTAGAACAATAACTTGTCCATGCCTGAACCAACAAACGTTCTTTCAATTCCAGTCATTCATTTCGAGTCCGGTCAAGACAGGGTTAAGTGTGTTATCATGATCCAAAAGTGGTGACCCCATTGACAATGATGAGCTACACCTTGGGCTACACCATTAATGTAAACAAAACCCATGATACCTGTGGTAGATTGTCACACAGCCTCTTGGCTGGCGTGCCTGGGTGCGCCACTGGCCGCCCTATCCGTCGTCCCTGAGAGCGGGCTTGCGCTCGCTTGACCTATAGCCGGGGGCGCTCAGCTGTGCGGTGTGGGTTGAGTCGGGTCAGCTGATCGAGTGAGAATACAGTTCTGACCGGTGATCGGAGGAGTGTGGTGCTGTGGTGCCGAGCTTAGTTCACGCTATAACATTGGCGACGAGGTATTTGAACAGAGAAATTGAAATGCCGGTGGGCAGAGTAGAGCCATTTAATGTGGAGGAAGAGAACTGGGAAGAATATGTCGAACGTATGGAAGAGTATTTTGTGGCAAATGACATCACAGATGAGGCCAAGAAACGTTCGACTCTGCTCTGCAACATCGGATCCAAGGCATACGGTATCGTACGATCGCTACTATCCCCTGTTAAACCGGCGAGTTCAACGTATCAGCTGATTGTGGAGAAACTAACGACCCATTATCACCCCAAGCCGTCGGTAACGGTCGCACGGTTTCGATTTTTTTCATGCTACCGTCTACCAGGAGAATCGATACAAACGTATATCGCTCGTCTCAGACAGTTCGCTGGTGATTGTCAGTTCGGTACATTTCTAGAAGAGATGATTCGTGACCGACTCGTATGTGGTGTGAAGTCTGACCTGATCCAGTCCAGGCTGTTGTCAGAACCCGAGTTGTCTCTGAAGAAAGCGACAGAGATGGCGGTAGCCATGGAGACAGCCGGTCGGAATCTGCAGGAGCTGTCGGGAGCGGAGGCGGCCGATCCGCCGCGACAAGAGGTGCAGCAGATTCGGTCACAGCAGCGGAGCCGGCCGACCGCAGCGGGGCCAGCGACACAGCAGCGAGCTCCAAGGGGCCCAGCTCAGCAGGCTGGCATGACACATCACACAAGTAAGGCCTTGGAGGGCGGGAAAGATAAGTGCTGGAGGTGTTTGAGTAACCGGCATGCAGAAGAGGACTGTTATTTTCGCCGAAAGAAATGCTTTCAATGTTTTCGTTATGGACACACCAGTGCAGCCCACCGAGCTGGCACGGTGAACAGTGTGGGGATGTTACCCGAGTCTGAGTCACAGGAGGGTGCCGAGGGTGGACTGGAGATGGAAGTAGAGACTGGTGAGATTGACGCTCTGGTTAGCGATCTGTTCACATGTGCAGAGGAGCGGCCGAGTCTGGTGAAGCCTCCAATCAAGGTCGACGTCAGCATCAACGGTCAGTCGGTGCAGATGGAGCTGGACACCGGCGCCGCCGTCTCCGTCTGCACGTACCGCCGCTTCAAGGAGCTCTGGCCGGACGGAGACAGGTTGCTGCAGCCGAGCAGCCGTCTGCTTCGCACGTTCTCCGGTGAGAAGCTCTCAGTCCGAGGTGAGGCGTGGGTAAACGTGCTGTATCAGGGTGTCAGTCATCGATTGCCATTGACTGTGGTGGAGAGTAACGGTCCGATGTTACTAGGCCGTAACTGGTTGGGAGAGATCAAGTTGGACTGGCACAATATTTTTGCGATGACTCTGAGTCCAGCCATGGGAACACTGCTCGAAAAATACTCCGAGCTATTCAAGGACGATCTGGGCTGTGCGAGGGATGTAGAGCTCAACATTCCAGTGGATCCAGCCGTGAAGCCCATCTTCTACAAGCCTCGGACGGTGCCACTCGCCTACCGGGAGAAGGTGGACGCCGAGTTGGAGCGGCAGATCAAGGAAGGTTTGTTGGTGCCGGTCAAGTGGAACGACTGGGCGACGCCCATCGTGACCTGCCAGAAGGCCTCAGGTGAGATCAGAATCGCAGCAGACTATCGTCTCACAGTAAACAAGGTTACGCCGTTAGAAAAGTATCCTCTGCCAAAAGTAGACGAGATGTTCAGTAAACTGCAAGGTGCGACAGTGTACAGTCAGATAGATTTGAAAAATGCGTACAACCATCTGCCATTAGAGGAGAAGAGTCGCAAATATTTGGCCATAAACACACACAAGGGCTTGTTGGTGCCAACCAGACTGGGATATGGGTACGCGAGTGCTCCGGCCATCTTTCAACGTTATATGGAAACTCTCTTGGCTGGAATACCAGGGGTGGGAGTGTTCCTGGATGATGTCATGATCGCTGGAAAAACCCCACAGGACCACCAGAACTCGCTGGAGGTGGTGCTACAGCGGCTGGTGGCGGCCAACCTGCGCCTGCAAAAGAAGAAGTGCAAGTTTGGAGTGTCATCTATCACCTACCTGGGACACCGCATCAGCGCGGACGGCGTGAGTCCGACCGACGACAAGGTCAGTGCTATCAAAAACGCACCCGCTCCGAAAAACTTGAAGGAGCTTCAGGCCTGGCTAGGGTTGATCAATTATTATGCCAAGTTTGTGAGAAATCTGTCCACCGTGCTGGCACCACTGTACCGGCTGCTCAAAAAGGGGGAGCCCTGGCAGTGGGGACCCGATCAGAAGAGCGCGTGGCTGGCGGGGAAGAGCCTGCTGCAGTCTACGCAGGTGCTGGCTCATTTTGACGAGACGGCACCGATCGTGCTGTCTTGTGATGCCTCTCCCTACGGGGTTGGGTGTGTCTTGAGCGTGGTTGACAAGCGCCTGGGAGAGAGGCCGGTAGCCTTCTACTCGAAATCGCTCACAGACACGCAGAAACGATATTCACAGACGGACCGGGAAGGATTGGCGGTGATTCTGGGGGTCCGCCGCTTTCATCATTGGTTGGCAGGTCGGAAATTTGTTATCCGGACCGATCATAAGCCCCTCCTGGGCATGCTGGGGGAGAACAAGCCGCTGTCCATGATGGCTTCACCGCGAGTGACTCGATGGGCAATGCTGTTGTCGGGCTATCAGTACAAGCTAGAGTATGTACCAGGATCGAGACAGGGACATTGCGATGGTCTCAGCCGTTTGCCTCTTCCGACAGCTGCTGGAGACTTGCCAGAGCCCGGCGAGACTCTGCACCTGGTGGAGATGATGGACGCTTCGCCAGTGACCGCCGCTGTGGTTCGACTGGCGACTGAACGTGACGCCACCCTCAGCAGAGTGCTGCAGTACACCCGAGACGGCTGGCCTGAGGACAGGAGCGGCGAGTCACCGGAGTTAAGTGCATATCGCACGAAGCAAGGTGAGCTCAGCATCCAGAACGGATGTCTCTTGTGGGGAGCTCGAGTCGTCATTCCAGTCAAGTTGCGGGAGAGGGTGCTACAGATGTTGCACGACGGTCATATGGGAGAGAGCCATACCAAGGGGTTTGCCAGAATGTACGTGTGGTGGCCAAACCTAGATTTTGACATAACCCAGATGGTTAAGGCGTGTGTGACCTGTCAACAATACCGCCACCAAGCGCCCGTCACGCCACTGAGTCCGTGGTCCCTCCCGTCCCGGCCATATGAGCGGGTGCACATTGACTACTGTGGCCCAGTGGAGGGGAAAATGCTGCTCATTGTAGTGGATGCATATACCAAGTGGATTGACGTACATGTAACAACTAGGGCAACAACCGAGGTTACTATGGAGGAGCTGCGGAAAACGTTTGCATACTGGGGAATTCCCAAGTTCTTGGTATCAGACAATGCTCAGTGTTTCGTGGCACCAGCGTTCCAGTCATTCTGTACTCAGAATGGTATCACACACCTGCGCACTGCGCCGTTGTCTCCAAAAAGCAACGGTCTGGCTGAGCGGGCAGTGCAGACGGTAAAGCAGGGTCTGAGGAAACAGGGGAATGGAACGCTGCACACCAAGCTGGCAAGGGTGCTGTTCACCTACCGTTCATCTCCCCACAGCACTACCGGGCCCAGTTTCACCAAGCTCTGTTTGGGGTAGTTTCGGCGAAACTACCCCAAACCAGTTTCACCAAATGGGGTAGGTTCTGATTGGCCACTTCCAAACTACCCCATGGAGTAGTTCTTATTTTACCCCAAATTTGCCATGCAAACAGATGCTCACGGTCAGTGAGCAACTGAACAAGCCAATCAATCAGCTGATTATCGTCGGTTCTACCCCAAATATCCGACCAAAATTACGGCAGACATTCGTGGGGTAATCTGTGAATATGATACCGATTGTGAGCAAGAATTGACAGTAAAATAGTAATAAGAACATAATTTATTGAAGTCCAATCACCTGTCACGTTTGAGTACGCATTATTCATAGCATACCTACTTCAAATTTCATCCAAGTATTTTACTGCATGTAGCCTGCGCCACCATGCTTGTGATCTACAACACCAAAAGAAGCATTATACATAGATGTCGCCCATAGCTGAATGCCAGGAATTTTACTTTTTTAACTATTAAAGGTTTTCTTCAACAGTGACCTTGAATACCGGATGAGGAAGCCTTGAAATATAAACAATAAAAATGCACATTATTCACGGTGGTTACATGCTGACGATGTGTCTTGTTGAAATGATCATAGTACTTCAACTTGTGTGATCTATTCAAATTATCATTCGAGGTATCTATATGCCTTACGGTCAATGTGCAAATATCCAGCAAATATCAAGACGCTTACAACTGAAATCAAAATAAAAATGCCGTACCTAAATCAGCAAGAGAATGTCGTGCATACCTAGGTAATTCTCATTAAAAATAAAAAGCATATGGTGCAAGTAATTCGTAATAAGCAGTTGTTAAAAATACCAGGCCAAGTGGATTCGATACTTTCCATATCTATTTTTTTATTTTTGTCGCTGTTGTGCATATCTCAATAAAGTTGCCTTAAATGTGCCGTGCATCTGTAGGTACAGTATGTATTTTGTAATGCACATTAGAAATAAAAGCATCTGGTGCAAAAGATTCGTAGTTAAAAGTCGTCAAAAATACCAAGCAAGGTGTATTCGATACTAGTAAAACATGCACTAATTTACTAAAACATTCTAATTATAAAACACTAAACATCTAATCTAATCTAAAACATCTAGGGTAGCCTAGGGCAAGACGCCCCAGATAATTTATTTTGCTACATAACTTTTGTCCCACACAACCTGGAAGGCCAAATTTGTGCTCAATGCGTTCTTTGGACATTTTACTTTAAATTCCACCCCTCAAATTCATTCACTTATGATCGGACTCCCAGCTAGGAAGTGGTTTGTGAAGCAACTGCAAATAGGGCGTTTTGCCCCAACCCCAGGGCAAAACGCCCCACGGCCTGGGGCAAGAAGCCCCACACTCTAGATTAAAGATTAAACATGCTAGTTGACTAAATCTTATATGAAGGGTCCGTTAGACCTTCGGAGGCATGGCACTGAAGTTAGCACCTTCCATCCTATCAGGTGTTCAGCTACGACACTATTGTATGAGCAGGTTTTTCACCTGCCTCATAAGGCCAAATAATAAATTATTGCAATGCAAATGTTAACAAAATACTTCCTTTGCCATCCAGTTGCTGAGAAAAGTACATATTAATGCATATAAACATACCGTTCGCTAGCTACCGAACATTAGGAAGTGGGTAGTCCGAACAACACATGAGGTAAAACGCCCCATGGGGCTTTTTGCCCCGCGACCTACTGGGGCGTTTTACCCCATCACGTAGTTCGGTCAGAGAACAACGCCTTGCACTCCAGGAAGACATAATTTAACACGAACCAACCCGGCATTATAAGCGTTAGACAATAGTTGTTCAAAATACATTAAAGTCGTTAACCTGATGTGGACGATAAAAGAACGCCATGATGCATAATCTGACAAGAAAACATAAAAAGCACTCCAAAAACAAATTTTTGGCTATATCTCCCTAAAGAGTCATCACAATTTATTTCCAGTCTGCTCATATAATGATCGTATAGTGTACGTTTTATAGAAGAGAGGATGTTTCCCAGAACCTTGCCAGTTCCGAGAAACATCGGTGAGGCGTTTTACCTCGGCGGGGCGACTTGCCCCGGTCTACCCTAAACATCTAATATAAACATCAAATTTACTAAAACACTAATTAATTTTAAACATTCGATACTATTCGATAATAAAACATGCCATTGTTCTGTAACCTATCCATCAAGATTCGCGGTTGTGCATTGCATTCATTTCTCAATATCTCAATAAAGTTGTGAATCTTGGAAACTGAGGTGCCATTGTGCCATCGTTACCAAGGTGATTGGTAGACAAATACAAGAAGCCAAATCAAATGTGTTCTTCATTTCACGCCGTCGTGAAATGAAATTCTCGACCAATCAAAACGTTCCGTTGTTTTGCTGATGCTGCTTGCTTAGCAAACATTCATAAGAGACGCCGAAACTACCCCATGGGGGTAGTTTGAGCTGGTGAAACTGGATTTTACCCCATGGGGCAGAATGGAAATCTACCCCATGCCGAAATTACCCCACTTGGTGAAACTGGGCCCAGGAGTGACGCCAGCAGAGCTAATGACCGGGCGGCGCATGAGAACTCGTCTCGACTGTATGCTTCCCAGTCTGCAGGATCGTGTTGTCAGCTCGCAGTGGAAGATGAAGGAGCGGTATGATAGACAGGCACAGCGGCGCACCATACTACCAGGAATGTCTGTCCTCGTTTCACAGGTGTCGGGACTGGCCGGCGTCGGCAGGACAACACGCTGGCTACCCGGACACTGCATCAACATCTCGGGACTCAAGCTCACGGTCCGGCTGGACGACGGACGAGTCCTCCAGCGCCATCTGGACCAGGTGGTCCCAAAAGCGGTCGCCGGGAACCAGGCCGTCCGACAGCCGACGGACTGGACGGCGGCGCCGCGGCCTCCTCAAACGCCGCTGACGTCGCTGCGGACAACTCCAACGTCGCAGGCGACGCCTTCACCGCCGACGCCCTCACCGCCGACGCCCTCACCGCCGACGCCTTCACCGCCGACTCCCACGCCGCTTCCGCCACCGCCAGCGGAATGTCCGGAACGGGAGAGGCCTACGTCTCCCTCCCCAGTGGGGCGGCCGGCTCGTGGGTTGGAGGGACGGGGTGAGCTCAACTCGCGATTGAAGTGTGACGTCCAATTGTCGCGAGGCGAGAGTGTTGAGTGTCGCGAGCCTGTGTCAGCGCCGCAGGTACCACGCTATAACCTGAGACCGAGAAAATAGTTGTTAACTAGGGGGGAGGAATGTGGTAGATTGTCACACAGCCTCTTGGCTGGCGTGCCTGGGTGCGCCACTGGCCGCCCTATCCGTCGTCCCTGAGAGCGGGCTTGCGCTCGCTTGACCTATAGCCGGGGGCGCTCAGCTGTGCGGTGTGGGTTGAGTCGGGTCAGCTGATCGAGTGAGAATACAGTTCTGACCGGTGATCGGAGGAGTGTGGTGCTGTGGTGCCGAGCTTAGTTCACGCTATAACAATACCTACAGTTCAACCGTTCAACCCAAGTAGCATGGTGATTGGTGACGATACTGACGCAGCCAATTTTTCTTCATAAACAAATGTTTAACACAACAAAACTTGATAAATGATTACTTACGAGGCACACTGATAGATAGCAGACACCACTGTAATGATATCGCGATGAAATCTAAGTAAAATGTCCATAATTTTACGGAAGCATTGACACACGTCACGTGTCATCTCTTCCATAATGGCGGCCTTAGAGGCGGCGGCCATTTGCATTAAGCTGTATAAAATAAAGTTTTTCTTTTCTTTTCCTTAAGTCCACTTAAATCAAAATTCCTTGTATAAATTTTGACATCTTAAAATTAATTCAAAAAAGCTTGTAGGCCGTTTTTGCTGAAAAATGAAGTACCAGAAAAACAAAGTTGTTCAATTATTTTCAATTAGCTATTGAGCTACATCGGTACTTGGCGCAGCTGCGACATTGAAATGTTTTTAGATGTGTTCAGTTTTGAAACTGCTGTGTGCGAATCAAGCCAAAAACCAATTATATTTTATTAATGCTTATGATAACATTGCTAGCGATCTGTATCTGTTGAGGTGAGCAGGAAAGAGAACACTAATTGAAGAAAATAAATTATCCACAGGATCATGACAGAATCGCTCACTACAGAGGCTTTTGAAGTTGAGCGAAGTTGAAGATTTGTGGGATGATGATGAAGTGACAAATGCTGCCTTCAATATTAGATGATAATGGTGAATCTAGTGCTGTATTAAACAGGGTTTTGGATAATGTAATTGCATTGCAGTGAAATGGAGAGCAAGACAAGGTCAAGATCAATCACAGACTCCTCAAAACAAAGTCAAATTTGTTGCTAATAAATGCTTTGGAAATTTTGAGAAAGGCAGTTAAAGTATGTTTTCCAGCATACAGTGAGTAAAACATTAATTCATGTTCATGTCTTGCACATTGGCTTCCTTTGTAAGATAATTATCCTCATGGTATTGGAATTTGCTAACACTGATAACTGATAAGTTGCCATTTAACATTGGTGGTCTGATGTATTTGATATTGCAGCTCATGTGTTTGCCCATTTGTTAGGACATCATGCATTTGGGAGAAATGTGTCATGATTGCCATTTTTTCTTCATCCAGTGTCATTTAGCAAATCAATTTTGAGTTCAGAAGGTTTATCAAAAATGCTTTCAAATCTTTTATGGCAGTAGTTGATTTTCATGACACCGACAAAATACCAAATGCTTTTGGTATATCATACCGAATACCGAATCGGTTTTGGTTCGGTATCGGTATACCGAAATTTTGGTAACCGATTGACACCACTAATTGGGAACGACGTGCAGTGATTCGAGGTGAGTGCACGCACCACGAACCGCCAGGTCTGGAGGCACTCAACATCGCGCGGCACACGGGCATCCGTCCAGAAAAACGGTCTCGCACGGCCAACGTACACAACTGGATAGCTGCCGGCATTTGCGGCATGAAAGTCGCTCCAAGTGCCAATATGCTGACGAAAGGGATCCTCACCCATACCTACTTCTGAGTTACTGCTCGAAGTGAAAACATCGGTTAAATGTCAAGATAGAACTACACCAATCCGACGAGGGATGCTCGCCAAACGGGCAGTTTTTGTAATAAATTGTATGTGTCAACGATCATTAATTTCTACCCTTGTGAAAAATGTGAAACGTTAAAACCAAGCCGCGTATCCATAAAACATCGACCACAATACGAGGAAATGATTTAACCACATACACATTCCAACATTTGCATGCTAATATTAAAACGTACTTTTTCTCAGAAACTTCATGAGCGAGCAGCAAACCCGTGATTTGATTGAAGCATCGGTAAACTATAGCATCAATGTTGGCATTTGATGCACCGTTTCGCAAATAAAATACCTATTTTTGACTGAACTGTCAGAGTGCTCAGACTCATATGACGTGAAGTGAGCGTATATTTTTATATGACAATCATCAAACCAGCAACTTTTAGCAACAATTGCTACCCAGTATCAATAACAACAAAGTGCTAACTAACAACAATTTAGCGACTTGAGTCGATGGATAGTATGATTAGCGATGACCCAGAGAGCAAATGAGCAAAAAAAAACTAACAAATAACACAGTCATACCGATAGCCGGAGAAACCGAATCATTCCGCACCCCTACCCCTCCCTCCAATAGGAGATCTCAGCTGAAATTACACTCAGATACAACGAGAATTAAACAAAAAATTATGTTTCAACTTGCAATACCCACGCACCACGCAGTACTGTCTGCAGAATCCTGCACAAGAGCTGCTCCTAGTGCAGTCGCTCCTTGAGCGCACCGATCGGCGTTAGACCGATGAACCGCCAGGCCCCGCGGAACGAACGACAGACTGCCCCGCGCCGTCCGGCCTGACGAGGTAGACTGTGCCGCCGAACGCCGGAGTCCTGCGGTGCAGCCTATCTACCCGCCAGACGCGCAACTTGGCGGGAGAGGGCGGCGCGGTAGCTCCGAGTCCGCATAAGCGATGCGATGCGCCACCTCTTATCAATGATGACGACGATTTGAGGTTGTAGGGCGCCCGGACTGCGACGGTCATCGGCGGGCCACCTCTACCGCAATTGATCACAAATGTCTATATCGCCATCAAATTCACCATAAGCAAAGTTGCTGGACCCTACACAAGCAGTTGCGATGTCATCGAATACCAGCCTCAACTCAACATTTCAATAGATATACTCTTCATAGTCTTTAAATACTCTTTAAATAGCTGCTCTTCGTTTGCATAGGTACAAATGTCAAATGCAAGTAAAGGTTTTGAGATCGACCTTCGCCGAAACCATTACAGCGCCATCAGCCATAAAAGCAACGGATGTTAATTAGTAGGACTTAGCCGGACGATTAGGTTCAGGACCACGTTCGAATTCCAGTGAAACGGCAAACAACGGCGAAGTAAATCTGACAAGACTGGCCATGCTCCTGGCTGTCAAGCTCCTCTTAGAATAACGCGGGAGGAGGGGAAATTGCAATCTCATAATGCTGCTTCGTTAAATCAAATACAGCATGGTGCGAAGCGCTGTACACTGCTTCCCAAAAACCAGCTAAAATTACCGCTAAAGCCATCTACACAGGACAACAGCTTCAATTCCAGGTGTAGCCATGCCTTTCTCTTCCCGCCCGCAAATCTCCGAAGAAGCTTTGCCTTGAATTGTATGAGTTGGCGCGTTGCATTGCAGTTTCCCGACGGTCTGTTCCCCCGACACCGGCGCCGCCCCATGTTTTCTGTCGGGCTCGAGGGCAAGCGGGCGGGCGGGCGATGGGCTTCCGGTCGACGGTAGCGGCCAAGCCAAACCGGTCGCCCCGACGCGGTGTGCCCAGAGCCGAACACAGACCGTTTCCGACCGCCAAACACAGCCGACCGGCGGCGCTGACACACCGGCCGACATCCCGGGGACAGCGCGCTCACACAGAGCGACTGTACACCGGCGGCACGCTCCACCAGCGCCGCCGAGACGGCTACATTCCACCGGTCCATGGCTCGGAGCATGTGCCAACACCGAACTTAAACAACGGCCGACCCCGGCGCGGCGTGTATATGCGACCGGTCACAAAAACGATCGCGGCGCGCCGGGCGGGCCCGGATTCCGCTGGTTGGCGCGCCGGTTCTGCGAACAGCAGCAGTCACCGGAGTGGGCGCCCGGCCGGCCGGCCCGGTATGCCGTCCGGATGTGCAGCGGCGCCGACTGTGTGCGTCACTGGCGCGCGCCGGCCGGCCGGCCGACGCCAGCGGCGACCCACGCGCGCACCGCGTGACCGTCCAGGCGTGCCCGCCGGCCGGCCCACCGCGCCGTGACAGAACAGGGAGAGGCGATATTTCACTGGTGCATTACCGACCTGACGGTGCATATTACCTACCACAGGTGGTTAGTCCGGCAGTGAAGCGGTTGCTACAATATGTGGGCCAAGTTGCAAGGTAATAACTCCCAATTTCCTATTCACGTTCATGATTATTCAATTTAGTTGACGTATGAGTCGTGCGCACGAAATAGAGGGAAGCAGCAACCGCTACGGCTAAAAAATATATTGTCTTATCCTTGGTAGTCCACACATTACACATGCCATCCAGTAATTAAAATGATGAAATGAATCACAAACGTTCGCAGATACCTACAATATTTGCCATATTTTTACGAATACAAGCATGTGCCATTTTAAAATGTGCGGTGTTTATTTTCGGAATTACAGCAAATAATAATAGTATCCGTTTTTTCTGGACACCCTGTACATGCCTAATGGTTGGTGGAAGGTCACAAATTTAGTACTGTAGTAACTTCATTCCAGCGCCAATAGCCAATGTCCCTCTCAGCTGGCTACAGACGCCATGTAACGCTGCTTATTTGCGCTTAATAATTGCTTATTTACGGTGCATGCGCTTGCTAAGCTAAGCAACAATTAGTTGCCGTCTTAAAGCTGGGCATTATCAGCCAATGCAGCATGAACTTGGACGGATCCCATCAAGGTGCCTACGATAACCGACGAATATGTACATACATCGTTCATGATAGAGCTTTTAATCTTTGACTTTTCCTTCCCTCAATCAGCCATGATACAAATAGGCATCACGCGTAGCGCAAATCATTGGAAACGCATATACCCTGATGCATATCGATATTTCCGAATGTCAGGCTTGAAAATTTATAAAAAAAACTATTTTCAATACAAAGAACGAATATGAACAGCAGAGGATTTTGATTATTTATTCCCCAATATTCAGAAGCTACGCAAGGACATTCAGGGAAAACTTTGCATTGCATTCTTTGGTAAGTCATGTAACCGAAAAGCCGCAGAGTCAAACGCATGGCGATACATTTAAATGTCAATAGCGTTTGTTGTTCCAGTGGAAGCATAAGCAGCTTCTGGCCAATTGGGAGGTGTCAACTCTGC